ACAAGTTGTCCAAGTTCAGTCGGACTCATATCTCTCATTTTTTCAATGTTCGGTTTATGTGGATTAGAATCAAGTTTAATACAAATCTCCCGTGGCAAACCAAATTGAACCAAAGGAGTCTCAAACATCCACATTTTTTTGTCAATACATTTACTAAATGTCAACAATTGTGATGTCACTTGACTCAGGTTACGATTAAGTGCAATTTCAAATAAAGCTCGAACTAAACGGCTAGCAATCTGAACTACGTAAGCTGAATCCGAAATCAAAGCAAAATCTTCAGGTCTAGCACCAGATAAGTGTGATTGTAGCAAAATATTGACCTTTCCTTCTGTAGTATCGACGTCATACTATTATAATATAGAGATACAAGTTCATAAATTTTCATAAAAATTAAACATCAAATATCTGCAAATGATGATCAATAATATGCAAATTCTTTTATAATACCTTTATTTGACAATAGCATGCGTTTTCTTTAAGTTTTAATAATTCTTTACTCTCTTCCTCTCTTGCTTTAAGATCCTCGAATTCCTTACTTTTGCTTATCATCGTTAAAATATCTGCTTCTAACATGTCATCTTTTAAGAGTTTATTGAAAATTTCAATGTTCTTATAGCTTATATAATAATTTGATGCAATACGCCCAATATCTCTAGAGCTAAAATAATCACTTTCAGTATTAAATGTAATCATCTCATTTTTATGAAGTTCCTTTGCTGCAAATTCGATGAGCATACGGCGTTTTCTACCAAGTTCAGGGTCCTCAGAAGGTTCCTTCGGATCAATCCCATAAACAAGAGGATTTTGCTTCATACGAACAAATAGATATGTGTAGCCTAACCATCTAACACCTTCATCAACTGTTGATACGGTACCAAGCGATATTTCTGCATTTAAATTGTCAACTAGGCTGTTGACAAACCTAAAGATAAAGTCAATTTTTTAGAAATGAATCAATAAATGCATTAATCTTGGTAAATTTCAAATTTGATTAATTACTTACTTGGATTCAATAGGATACTGTTGTGTCATTGCTGATACATAATTGGATAGTTTGTCATTAGTCGTCAAAATATAACCAACGCCATAGCTTTCATACTATTAAAGAACATGAATGAATAAAAGAACAACTATAATAATATCGAAGATTAAACAAACTTCATTACCTGTGGACGACCTGCTCGGCCAAAAATTTGCATGACATCTAAAATGGACAAATCAACGAAATTGCCTTTTTGTGTATCATATACATGAGTACCTTTAATAATAACAGCATAGGCCGGTAAATTGACACCCCAAGCCAATGTTGCTGTGCAACATAAAACCTTCAAATGATAATTGATAATAATTGAAAATATAAATAATTCATTCATTTTTATATTGCAAAAACAATTTTAATGTACCTTTAGAAGTCCTTCCTCGAATAAACGCTCGGTCATCGTTCGGTCGGATCTTTGCATACCAGCATGATGAATGCCAAATGAAGAGGAAAACAACTCAACTAACTCTTTGTTTTTAGATTTTGCGACATCTCGTTTTGCCAACTCGAAACGTTCATGTGTAGAATTACTAAATAATTCTATAACGTATGCAAAATTAAAATCTGGCAGATAAAAAAGATTCCTAGAATAAACGATTGTTTAGTATAATTACCATCCTGTCCCTCCTTAATGG